AATAATATCTAACAAAGCAATATGAAATTTATGAAATGTAGATACATGATACGTAATTTCCAAGTCACGTGACGTTACGAAGGGTTAATGTTTCATCCGGTACGTAAACTAGCTGCTATCCGAATTACTTCATAGGATATAAATTTTCCCGCAGAAATTGCTATTACCGCGACGCGGGAAACATGAATAAAATATAAGCGAAACATAAATAATTTTTTAGAATTAAGTTCTTTTTTTTTCTTTTTTCGCCGGAAAGCCTGGGCTTCGTAACTGCGCGCGCGTATCCGGGGTTCCCAGAGCTAGAGCCAGAGTCGTGAAACGTCCATGCGAGAGGGAGAGTGTTGCACCCTTCGCCGTTTTTTAGTTCTCACCACTTGCGTCACGACCGACTGCGCTTTTCTGTTCACCGTCTTCTGACGGTTTACCTTATCCCCCGCGCCGGGAATTTGGTTATTTTTCGTGGAAGCGCGCTGATAGATAAAAAGGAAAAGCAACGGCCGCTTGCAGAACGAGTGCACTCGACGAAACTTTGGAGTGCTCACGGGCATTGCGTTGCGTTGAAAAAACATCGGATAACCAAACAGGGAATATCCTTCCATTTTTTTCTCTCTCTCTCTCTCTCTCGTTTCTTTTCTTTTTGTTCGATTTTCTTTTTTTTTTTGTTCAATGTTTTCGTTATCGTATTTAAAACGTGTAGGAAAAACATTGAAACGCAGTTTCGCGGCAAAAAGTGCGCGCGTTTTACGACGCAGCCTGAAAGTTCCGCGTTTTACGACGCAGCCTGAAAGTTCCGCGTTTAAAAAAATTAAGTAGGAAATGTGAAAGTTTTTGCGCCGGTAAAATATAGAATTTTATTATGTATATGAATATCGAAGTGGAGTTCTGAATAGGATGTTACAGTAATTAGGGAGAATGTTTGATCATTTTTTGGTCTTGTTCACTTCGTGTGTGATGTTAGTTTGTGTAGTTAGGTCGAGCAACGATTCGTAGTTTATATTGCGAGAAAGAATTCAGGTAAATAAAAGATGATACAATTTTGATGGATATAATATTAGATAGAATAAAGGAAAGAAAATTCCTTTCGGTATTGCGTTACTCTTTTGCGGGAGAACTTTCTCTCTTTTGGAAGAGTTTCGATCGTTTGTCTTTTTAATTTTATTTTATTCGTGAATTGGAAAGTACTTTATATCATTTGAATCTTTTGTTGTGAGAAAATAAAAATTGAGGATTAGGTGATAAAACGAAAGTAATTTTCATTGTGTCAAAAAAACTTGCAAATTTTCAAACTTGATTGAAAATTTCTCAGACCTTTGTAGATATTGCGAATTTTCACTCGAGTTTCAAAATTACTCAGACCTCTGGAAATATTGCAAATTTTCACTCTAGTTTGAGAATTTCTCAGACCTTTGTAAATATTGCAAATTTTCACTCTAGTTTGAGAATTTATCAGACCTTTGTAAATATTGCAAATTTTCACTCGAGTTTCAAAATTACTCAGACCTCTGGAAATATTGCAAATTTTCATTCGAGTTTGAGAATTTCTCAGACCTTTGGAATTATTGCGAATTTTCACTCGAGTTTGAAAATTACTCAGATCTTTAGAAATATTGCAAATTTTCACTCGAGTTTGAAAATGTCTCAGAGCTCTGAAATCATTGCAAATTTTTTATCGAATTGGAAAACATACCCGCAATCATTTTGTGAAATTGTGTGGTTTCAGGAAAACACCTAGCAGACAACGTGATACAACAGTGCGAGAAAAGTCGAAAAACAGAGGCGGGACAGAATCCCTTGGCTGAATACAAGTGAGTACAGCATTAAACGGTGCCTTTGAAGATACTTCCGCATGCACTTCAAAGTTGCATTCACTGTGTCAGAAGCGGGTCTTTTAATGCGTGCAATTACCGCGATCACGTCGCGCCATTTCTCCGAGTATCACCAGCAAACATTTTAACCAACGAGAGATCCAGAACCCCAGAAATCTGTGTTTACCCGTTACGTAACATTAATGGAATGTTACGATTACACAGTCGTTGAAATTTAATCGATTCAATTAACCCTGGTTTCAATTAAACGCCCGATACACGCGAGAGGTATTTCACTTTACGTAATTATCAAGTCGTATGAAAAATTTATGTGTTTCTTTTTTTTTTTGTGCAACGCTTCTTATGATATAATAACTTGTTGTTGATCTACCGGTGGCGCCTGTTTTTTGTAAGATTATTTAATAGCGTTGCATACGCCATTAAGCACATAACTTCGTTTATTAATAAAGTTAAAATACATTTGTTAGTAGAATGAGTATTTACAAGATGTGTTATATTATTGGGTAGATGATTCATTTTTTTAAAATTAATTTTAACAGTTGCAAATGCAGCTATTCTGAAAATTATAAAAATAGGTCTAAAATTTTCTTGTTTGAATTCAAAATCATTTGTTTTTCAAATTAATTTTAGCAGATGAAAATGTATATAGTTATTGTTATTCTTGAACTTATGGAAATAAATGTGAAATTTTTGTTGGTCAATTTCAAGTTCAGTTTTTCTTTTTCTAATTAATTTTAGCAGATGGAAATGTAGTTATAGTTGTTCTGGAGCTTATGCAAATAAATGCAAAATTTTCTGGTTAAAATTATCTATTATATTATCTGTGTATGATAAAATTAGAGGAAATATATAATTGAGAATGTTAAATTCAATAGAAACTTGCAGAACTGTAAGAATTGACAATAAATAAAAACATTCCATTTTATATATTTTTATACATTTTTCATCAAAAAATAATAACATAACTTATCTATGAATTTGTTCATTATACTCTACATAGAAGTTGTTAAGTAAACAATTTAATGAAATTTTCTAGTTTTTATATTAAATGTACAATTATAATCTCGACCCATTTTTCATAATATTACACTTTAGGGTAATATTTCTATACGGTATCACATATCCAGCAACTTCTCCCGGAACCTCTTTCGTTCTCTGAAGAATAATACATAATTTAACGAACCCATTTGTTTTACAGCAATTTCCGATTTCGACAGAGATTCTGCCAGAACTTGGACTCTACAGAAGGCATACGAGCGGGTGAATTGACCAGTCGCCTCTTGACTTGGAGAAATCGAAGCCATCGTCCAATAGCCCTACAGGTAAGCTGGTTCAATATTTCCTTTTGATCAGAACGAGCCCACATGAAAAGTAGCTTACTGGGCAAATAGGCATTTCACATACGGAATAGCTAACGAGAAACATCAGTTCCTTCTAATATCCTCCTGAAGAAAGAAATATTTTACCTTCCAACCAAAAAAAAAAAAAAAAACCATTTTATTTATTAAAAGAAACTATTTTAATTTCAATTTATTTAAAAAAAGTAATTTATTTTAATTTAACTTTATTTAAAAAAAACTGTTTATATTATTTTAAATTTCATCCCAGGCATCGTTTTGTACATTCTTTTTTTTAAAAAAGGAAAAAAAATACGTACACCTAGATTTTCCACTTTTCGAAATTTATCTCGCATAAAGTAATGAAGAGCCGTGGGAAACGCGTGCTCGTTAGAAAGATAGAGAGAGAGGAAAAATAGCAACAACATATAATTTATAATTTTCCAGCAAATTACCCCTCGATGGCGCGGTTTTTAAATTAAAGTGCTCGGGTCGAGTGTGTTTTCGCGTCGGTACTTCTTTCTTCGTGGTTATTTTATAGATTCCGTTGAAAATTCCCTCGTCACTAGCGCACTAATGTGCTTATACTAAGTGATGCGCATGCCGTGTGGCGCATTAATGACGGTGATATGCTGAAGTGGCGAACAAGGTAATGCGCAGCATCCGCGCTAAACTGTCCCACTGTAATTTGCAACTTAGCATCGTTGATGATCCGTACTTTTAGACTAACGTAAAATCGATACACGTCCGTTAATAATAACGCTTGAACCATTCGATGATTGATCTCTGTATAGTAGGCCAATGTTTCCGCGTAAATTTCTAACACTGTGGACAAAATTCTGGGGTGCTCATCGAAGTCTCTACTACATTGTACAATTGTTCGTTAAGTCGGATGGTTAAAACTTTTCTCAATAAAAATAAACATTCGTTTCGAAGAAATACAAGAGTGAAATTTCACTTGGGTCATTATTGACCCAAATTGACCACGGAGGGTTGAGAACGAATTAAAATTGAAGCAACGTGATACTCTATTCGCTAAATGACTCTTCTTCGTTATATAACTGTTCGTTAAGTCGAATGATTGAACTTTTTTCAATAAAAATAAAAATTCGTTTCGAAGAAATACAAGAGTGAAATTTCACTTGGGTTACTAATGACCCAGATTACCTACTGAGGGTTAAACAGAGTATGATCAACCGAGGAAAAAGGAAATAAAAATATATATTAAATTTTGAAAAGTGTTTTCAACGACAATTAGATGAGACGTCTTAATTAAGTGATTACTTGGTGCACCTTTTCTTTTTTTACCTTTTCGTACTATAGATAAGTCGTTTTATGTCAGTGACCTGTGAACTGGCTTTATGTCAAGAATAAAATCAGTCAAGAAAAGCTCGCGTGACGCTCAGATTAGGCTAGCCGCCGTTTATCTTATTTCAAGCAGGCTTGCTACTCATTTCGTGATAGCCCTCAAATGATAAGTTTCATTGCTGCTAAAGTATTCTGCTCTATTCATTAACCGTACCATCGTGATATTATAGAATATTTATAAAAAGAAGTTATTTCAATATTAAAAGAAAAAACAACAACTGACGTCTGTATTTTTAGTGAAAACGAAGGAAAACATTCGGTGCATATGATAGCTATCGGCGAAATCGAAATCGTCAAAGAGATTTTTCTACAGCCAGCGGGAATATTTTTCACGATCAAGGTCAGTTCATTAGCATCAATGAACGTCAGGCACAAGCACAGCGTCCCTTTGCGTGTGCGTTTCCGCATATTTATTTTTCGTCCTGTCATCTGCCCTCTTGTTGCGAAGTGGAGAAGGAAGGGAGCACGGTGAAATCGCAAGAAGGGATAGCGTTTAATTCGTGAGCATGCGCCCACCATCATGGGGGAGTCGTTGCAGAGGGGCTGCCGCCTCTCTTTTGGGGTGATGTTATTGATCAGAGTTTCTTCTGTCCTACGAAATGGCTCAAGTGTATCACGCCATGGGGAATCGTGCCTCGATTTTTTCCCATATTTCCTCTGCTCTGAAGGCCTTCGATGCTGGGATTAATAGAAGGTTTCGAGTCCTCTTCGAAACTTCCAAGAAATTATTAGCTATTGGTTACTTCGTCATTTTTTCCACTCCTTTTTTCTTTTCGAGAGGATTTATGGATAGTGCAAATAGATATTGTATATTTGGGGTTGATTATAATTTTTTTTCTTGTGATAACAGTAACAGAATCTGGTTAGATTTAAGAGGCATTATATTTTTGGTATTTTTTTTTTATTTTAACACTTTGGTGTGTAGTTTTGTACCTTAAAGTCTGACTGACCTAAATCCTGTATTGTAATTTTACAGCAGAAAAAAAGATCAGTCATGTAAACAAATCTTTATGTTTCTGATAAAATAAGGGAAGAGTAGTAAGATGGTGTACATAAATTAATTTTGAAAAAAATAGAGTTGGGTTCTAATTTGATATTTTACATTATGAAGGTCACGTCAGTCATTTTCTACTATTGAAATTATGTTAATTGTGTATCGATACAAGCATTATAGATCTTGCAAAGTACGCGCTCCAAAAAACTTTATAATTTTTCCATTAATTTAATACCTGCATTTCAGTATTTTTCTCGATATCGTAATTTTCATAAGAAACGACATTTCGTTAAAAAAAAAAAAGGTAAAATAATTCGACGATAAATGTAAAAATATAGCTAAATCTTGAACTTAAGATTACGCGTTTGATATTTCCTCTGAGTACTATCACTCTCTGAAATACCGCGAAAAATGCGTAATCGAGATAAACTGGCGTTAAAGTCGCGAAACCACTGATAAAAGTGAACCCCGTTTTTTATCTAAAAAGGAAGCAGAGTACATTCCGAAGTGCTTGATAGCCCAGGCAAGTGCAACGATAAGGAATAATATTAAAAAACAGCCTCGTCGCAGTTCTCTTTCACCTTTCAGATCGATACACAGTAGGCGCCAATCCGTTTTCTAATCAAGCAACGTCTCGGAGCTGGTCTATTACGAAAAGAAGAAGCATCTGATTAGGTGTACTAGATAAGATACTCGAATAAACCTGATAAAATTGCTTCGCTGTAAAGAAAAGTATAGCGAGACGAAGGAAAAAATTCGTACGAAAAATAGAGAAAAATCAGCTTCGTCAGAAACCGTGGACGAGAGAATAGAAGTAACCTTGTATCAGTGTACCAATGAATAAAAGCGTAATTTCGTTCGTAGAAGAAGATCGAAAATTTTATTCAAAATCCTTCCTAAGAAGAAAAAATAATTTAGCAGTTATTTAGGTAATAAATGAAATTATCCAACGAAGAAAAATGCACAATTAAGAGATAAATATGAATAACAAAGAAATAATGAACAAGTCTTGCACAATTAATTACAAACATTTACAGCGATAACAGTACTGTACATTTTATTACACATTTTTGCCCAGCGTTCAATTTGCACGGTAATATCAAGAGTCGCAGTTATTACAGCGTGAGTAATCCTTTAATTGCTTCGAACGGTGTAAGCAGAGAAAGAAGGAGAGCAGGCTCGGCACGGGTGAAACGCAAACCGGCAATCTCTGCCTCGCTGGTGTAACGAAGACGGTGAAATGTCGTGTGACGTAATTTTCTACCTCGAAATTAAAAAGCAAGAACCCACTTCACCTTAAAACAATTACACACGTTCGAAAGCAAACAACCTACACTTCATTTTACTTTCGTCAAAGCGTGTAATAAAGGTGAAGAAAAAATGAAAGCTATCAACTCCAAAAGAAATCAAAGAAACGAAAGAGGAAGGGTCGTACGGTGGAAAGAAAGAAAATAAAATCGTGGCAACAAAAGGGACAAACGTGACGGGAAAAGGGCGACAATTTCATTTATAAGCGACGGGAGAAAGACCGAGTGGCATTAGCGTAGAAAGAGAAAATGCAATTTATCGAAATGCACGGGCAGGAGAAGGACAGCTGTAGATCCACGGAGTAGGCACCAGGCGAGGGAGGGAGAATAGAGAGAAAACAGGATAAAAAGAGAGATAGATAAAGACGGAGCGCGATAAGAGCGAGAGAGGTAGGGTACAAAGGAGCGGGCCGGTGAGAGAGGGAAGGCATTGAGTGAGTCAGTGATGGCGTACAGCAGCCAGGCCGAGCCCAGCTGTTCTTCGATCCCCTAACCTACGCCAGTTTATTTCAGCTACCAACACTACGTGGTACCGAACGCGGTTCGTGCTCTCCTCTCTCTGTGCGTCCGTCGTCGAAGCCCTCGTTATCTGACGACCTTCCGGTTTTATCGTTTTCTCCTCGTTAACGTCTCTCTCTCTCTCTCTCTCTCTGAAATCCGCGCGCGGCGGTTACTTCGTTTTCACGCATCGCGCGTCGTAGAAACACACGGTTTATAAGAAGGAAAAAAGAACGTGTACCTGCTACACAGAATGAAGAAGTAAGAAAGTACGAGCATCAACCGTGTGTGAGATACGAAGAGGAACATTTTATCGACATGGAACAGTGAATCAATTGTGAACCACACCGGTGTGTTATAGTTTTACGAAGCAAGAAGCCAAGTCAGTCGTCCATCGAGAACGGACGGAGGAGACCTCCTCCCCTTACGATTTATTTCTCGACGAGTTTCACGCGTTATGGGGAAACGCATGTGCGACTACGCTCGATCTCGTTATCTCGGCTGTTTCGTCGACGGGTCCGGCCCTTTGAACCACGGACCCTCCGCCTTCGGTCTCCTTATGATCTCGTTCGTGCGAGAAAATAACGAATCGATCGCGACGGTGCTGTGAGAGTTAGTAGCGATTGTTCGCGTTCGCCCGCGTTTATATGTCGCGTGTTTCTCCATCTAGAGATCGTGAATAGAGGAATTTTCAAGTGGTGCGTTTTTCCACGGTGGGAATTGAAAGGGAATCTTTTTCCTTCCCCTCGCCTCTCGTTAACGAGTGCCTGTCGGTAAAGGAGAGATTTTCTAGGGAAATAGCTTGGAAGAAGAGAAGA